AAATATTTGCTTCTAATGTTCAACAATCTACACAAGTCCGACACACTTAAGACCAATCCACTGATCAGGTGAGCCAATTTTCGGATGAGGAATGACAGGTCTATTCCAGGAGGAAGAAGAAGAATGGAGGCCGACTCGAGCTCGGAAATTTATTGGATGATAAATTGGTTACTACTGACAATGACACTCATCTTAACAATTTATTTGCTTGCTCCTTTCTTAGAACTAGAGGCAGAGACAAAACAAAATTGGGCCGATCTCTAGCTACTTGATACTCCGTATTTTGACACTTTTTGGTTTTTTCTTTAAGTTTATCAAGTTTTTATTTGTGTTTTTTGTTTTTGGAATCATTTGATGTGGTGATTATCGTGCTGACAGGGTGCCATATTTGGGTCCTCCCACACAATCTATCTGCATCTTACTTTCTATTTAATATATTAGCCATTGGACTTTCTAAAAAAAATATACTTGAAAGCCCAAAGGTGAATATATTTATAAAAGCAAAGATACAGATATATTGGGTGGAAGGGCCCAAAATTGGAGAAAAATTTGCGTACGTAAGACGTTACAGAGAGATTGTTTAGAGGGTGTTGGAGGGTTATATTCGCGTTATACCCCATGCAAACTCCCTGTAACCTACCTGTACCTTCTAGTAAGTTTCACGCTTCTATTTTCATATATTTGTAGGTTATAAGTAGGTTACAGTGAGGTTGTAAGGGATATAACACAGATATAACCCCCCAATACCCTCTAAATAACCTCCCTGACTTACGCAGCGCTGCGTATGTCTTACGTATGCAAATTTTTCTCCCAAAATTGACACCCTAACCACCTGATATACAACACACACATAGGGAATAAATGTATACCAAAAAATAGATTAAAATGTAGACATAGAAAATTATACATCAAAAGCCTACCAACTCGCTGACACAATTAGCTTGCGAATGATCCAATTTAGGCTTGCCTCTGCCTCTGGTTCTAGGACAGAAACCTATTAACAAATTGTTAAGTTTGCTGCCATTACCCGAAACAACCAATGTATCGTTCTCATGTTTGGTAGTAGGCCTCCATTCTTCTTCTTCTTTATGAATGTATAAACCTGCATGTTCTCATCTGAAAATTTGACTCATCTAATCAATGGATTGGACCAAAGATTGTCGGACAGGTGTAGACTAATAGTAACAACTTGCTTGATCTGATGAGGCGGTAGACACGCCGTAAAAATATTGTCACCTGTTACATCAATGATAGGTTCTAGGACAGGTGAAGTTTGAAATGTTTCCCCGACCCCCACGAAAAGAGGTTCTATAGGAGGCGGGGGATCTACATCATGAGCATTTGGTAGAGGCTGAATGATTGACATATTACCCGCGAAGATAGTGACATTTTCAGGAGTATTCTTTTGAAGATCAATAGTGTCAATAACTTGGAGCAAATCAGGAGGGAGAATCACTACCTTTGGCTGAGCACTTTGCTTCTTTAGTCTTAGATGGTGATGTACATGGTGATATTGAGAAATGGGGTGGCCGAACATACGACAATTCGAGCAATACGAAGAGAAAGACTCAATCACAATCATTTACCAATATTCATAGTGTTGTGTACCTAACCAAATTTCATTAGAAATGATTGAATTGATGTCCCTTTCAACAAGCACGCTGACTTTAGAGGGACGGGAAAGATTAAAAGTAGTAATGTCCATTTTGAGTGACTTATCATAGACTGAGGCAATAGAGTACAACTCTTCTTGAGTAAAATAATGAAATTTCAGGTCAGAGAGGTGAATCTAGATCATAATGATTGGTGGTTCTGTATTTGGGTGAAAATTCACCAATCATTTCAAAATCTTCATTGTTTATTATCAATTCAGATTGATCTTCTAGCAAATAAGTGTATGTAATTCTCTTCAGTTGAATAAAAATGTGTCTTCCATCTAAAAGTCCAATTTTTCACTCCCCAACAAGGTACATAAGCTCAAATTTTTTACGAATAAGCTTCATTTTGGGATGTCCATAAAAATTTCCCGACCAAATTCAGACGACCGGAGGAAGCAAATTGATTACATTTTGCTTCCATAAAAAAGTTGGCTGACTTCCCGTTCTTCCTGCCAGGTTTCTTAATGCCCTCTGCCAACACAGACGAGAAAAGGAAAGAACACGATTTAGGAGTACCTGAGCGTAGACACCCGTAAGGGCAACATCGTACGTTCTGTCCGAGGCCATCACGGAGGTGCAACGTTTGGAATAGTGAAGTTGCAGTCAAAGAAACCGAAGCCGACAAGTAAGGCAGCAGGATCGACGGGATCCCCTTTTGCCTCGAGCAGGGGACGAAAGGTAAAGACGCCGGAGAGGCGCAAACAATTCCTCTTCAAGCACTGGAAGGACAAGATGAGACGACGAAACCACACCCTAAAAACATCCTTCAACGAGTGACGAAAGACGACACGAGACGCAACACGACGAAATTGCTACGAACTAGACGACGAAACACGAAGCAGAGAAGCAAAGGAAAACAAAGGCACGATGCGAGAAATATTGTAGCATATGCTAGGGTTTCACATCATGGGTTCGCCATGATGCGAAACCCTACTAAAAAAATCTGAGGGCAAATATATTAATACGGAAAAAATACAGAAATATTGTGTGAGATGACCTAAAAGAAAGCCCAACTCATACAATACAACACACACAAAACCTAGATAAAACAAAGATACATAAATATAAAAAACCAAAAAGCCACAAAATGACACAAAACATGCCAGGGACGTCCCACTTTAGTCATCCTACCACTAGTTCTCGGAAGTGAGTTGACTAACAAATTCGTAAGGTGAGTACCATTGTCTGTAGTAACCAAAGTATCATCCATCAAATTCCTGAGCTCAGGTAGATCGTCATTCTTCTTCTTCCTCTTGGAAGTGTAGACCTGCCATTCCTCATCCGATGATTGATTTATCTGATCAGTAGATTCTAAAGGTAGTCGGATAGGTGTAGGTCGTTGCATGTCTTGATCCCCACGTGCCTGAGTAATATTAACATCTTTCTGGACTTGATGAGACGATAGTGAAGCAGTAGAAGTATTTCCACCTGTATTATCAGTGATAGGTTATAGGGCAGACGGGGTGTGAAGAAACTCTCTCTCCCCCGCCATAGGAGGTTTCAAAGATGAGGGAGCTATAACTGGGGATTGAATAGTTGTCATATTGTCTGCATGGATAGTGACGTCATCCGAGGTGTTCTTCTGTAGATCAATAGTGTCAAAAACTGGGAGCTGATGAGGAGAAGATGGAATTACAGCCTTTAGCGGAGTAGTTTGCTTTTTGGTCTGAGTTGGGGGTGTAAATTGTGACATTGAGAGATGGAGTGTCCGAACATACGATAGCTCGAACAATAGGATGAAAAATGTTCAATCTCTACCTTCTGCCAATATCCATGGTGTTGCGTGCCCACTCAGATTTCCTCAGAAGCAGGTGAAGTGATGTCTCTTTCAACAAGTACTCTGACTTCAGAAGGACGAGACAGATTAAAAGTAGAAATATCCGTCTTGAATGACTTCTCATAAGCTGAGTCAATAGAATACAATACTTTTTGAGAAAAATAATGAAATTTCAGACCAGAGAGACGAATTCACGTTTATGGGTCAAAATCCACAGAACATTTCAAAATCTTCATTGCTATGATATCAATCAATATTATCCTTCTAGCAAATAAGCGCATGTAATCGTTTTCATTACTAATTTGAATAAGAATTTGTCTTCCATCTAATAATTCAATTTTTCATTCTCCAACAAGGTGCATAAGTTTAAATTCTTTGCGAATGAGCTCCATTTTGGGATGACCATATAAAAAATTTCCAACCAAATTCAGACGACAAAAGGGAGCAAGTTGAATACGTTTAGCTTCTATAAAAAAGATGACAGAATTCTCATTCTTCCTATCAGGTTTCTTGATGTTCTCCGCCCACTCAAATGATGAAGGTAAAAATGATGATTTTGGTGTGCCTGAGGCGTGGACACCGGTGAGGACAACTGCATACGATTTGTCCGAAGCTGTCCTCAAAAAAAGGTTTGATGTTCAAAGTTCAGAGAAGAAAGCAGACAGGGAAAAATAAAACTGGCGTCGAAATAGACGCTGTGAGACGGATGAGCGCAGAAGACGCAGAGATTGCGAGCGGTACCCGCGAGACAGAGCCGCAGAACACGTGATCAGGCGGGCTGCAGAGGAGCCGCAGAGCCTGGAAAATCTTGAGCCAGGAAAGCTCGCGAGATCATCGGAAGACGGGAGATGAGCCTCGTCTCAGAGCGAGGAAGTAGCGGGGGAGACGAGCGAATCGAGCCCGAAAATGCGAGAGGAAAAAGCGACTGTAACTGTTGCTAGGGTTCACCATCGGGCCAAACCCCTAACAAAGCCGAGAGAGAAAGACGACACCATCAGCGAGCCGTGC